TAGTTCTTCAGATTGGTCCAACATGGAGATGGAGTTCAAACAACTCTGATAATTTAAAACCATCAAGGAATCCAGCTGTCATCCTTGTGTGCAAGCTCTGAAGCCAGGAAGGACACATAGGGAGGTAATATGGACCAAGCATCTAAGGATTAGGTTATGTTCCCTGGGCTTGTAGGTTCACTTGATTTACATTTATCTAGATGAGAAAGAATTGGGAAGAGAATGTGGTCACGCACATTGTTTCTATTATTTTGTTTCAGGTACTGGGGTAAATCTGAGGCTATAGGTGAGGAGCATCAATAACTTTAAATGCAATGACTCTTGGGAGGCTAAACAGGTGTAGCAGAAATGGATTCGAGCTCTATCATTGATAAATTGTGTGACTTTCGGCCAGTTGCAATCTTTATCAGTAACACATCTTTATATGTAACAAGGGAGCAGCAATTCTTATTTTACATTAATGATAAAATAAGATCATGTGTGTAAAAGCACTTAGCACAGGGCCATATTCATTTCTTCTGATGGAGAACTACACGGGCACAGAAAACATATGCATTTTTCAGTATTACACAGTGTCTAACACATGGTAGACAGCAAAGGAATATTTGTTAAATTAAGGAGCTCTCTTCAAATTTTCTGAGCGAGTACTTGCACGAAATTAGGGAATGTGTGTTTAAATGTGCAGATAACAAATAACTAGTCAACATACTAGGGCTTTGGAGAGGTAAAGTGTCTTAGTCATCTAGTGCTGCTGTAATAGAAATACCACAAGTGGATGGCTTTAACAAGGAGAAGTTTATTTTCTCACAGTCCAGTAGGATACAAGTCCAAACTCAGGGCGTCAGCTCCAAAGGAACACCTTCTCTGTCAGCTCTGGAGGAAGGTCCACGTCATCAATCTTCCCTTGGTCTGGGAGCTTCTCTGCGCAGGAACCTCAGGTCCAAAGGACACGCTCTGCTCCCGGCACTGCTTTCATGGTGGTATGAGGTTCCCATGTGTCTCTGCTCACTTCTCTCTTTTATATCTCAAAAGAGATTGCCTTAAGACACTTATCTTGTAGACCTCATCAGTATAACTGCCGCTATTCCATCTTATTACATCACAGTGATAGAGTTTACAACACATAGGGAAATCACATCAGATGATAAAATGGTAGGCAATCATACAATACTGGGAATTATGACCTACCCAAGTTGACAGATATTTTTGGTGGACACAATTCAATCCATGACACACAGTTATGTGGCAAAAGGAATACAGTCTTTATAATGAAAACAAACAGAAAAATAGGGTGCTATGTCCGTGGATAACATTGCAAAGAATGAGAATTCCAGAACACTTAAACATGCTCATGAGGAACCTGTACATAGACCAAGAGGCAGTTGTTTGACCAGAACAAGGGGATACTGTGTAGTATAAAATCAGGAAAGGTGTGTGTCAGGGTTGTATGGCGAGACTTTGTCTCACATAGTTTGGACATGTTATCAGGAGGGATCAGTCCCTGGAGAAGGACGTCATGCTTGGTAAAGTAGAGGGTCGGCGAAAAAGAGGAAGACCTTCAACGAGATGGACTGACACAGTGGCTGCAATAACGGGCTCAAGCATAACAACGACTGTGAGAATGGCACTGGACCAGGCAGTGAGTCATTCTGTTGTGCACAGTGTTGCTGTGGGTCGGAACCGACTCAACGGCCCCTGACAACAACACAGCTATATTATGGATCTAGATATAGTGATATGAAAAAGCTGAAAGATACAGTAGTAATTTGAAAAAAAATGTTGCCAAATAATATATATGGTAAGAACCAACTTATGTTAAAAGAATCAAAACACACATCTATAGAAATACATGGAAAAAAGAACCTTAAGGTTGGTTGTACTCCAGACCGTAAGGTGAAAAATGATGTGGGACTTTCACATTTTGCTACTTCTATATTAAATGCTTTCCAATGAGCATGTATTCATGTATTATTTGTACAATGTTTTTAAAAAGCCAGAAGAACACAACTACCACAGCATCCACCAGACTGAGTCCAGCACAACTACATGGTGCCAGCCACCACCACCAACTGCTTTGACAGGGATCACAATAGAGGGTCCTGGACAGAGCTGGAGAAAATGTAGAACAAAATTCTAACT